GTATTGCTGGGTGAAGCCGGTGGCACCTCAATGCCAGCTGCCCCAGTGGTGCCGTGGGACAGGAGCGGGACTAGTGGGGTGTGGGAGAGCGGCCACGGAGGTACTTTGGGGTGGCCAGTGCCTGGAGGGATGGAGTTGTTAGAGCCAGTGAGCATGGCATGATGGTGGGAACCCTGAGAGGGTTCAAACCCAGGGAGGGGGGCATGGCAGATGTCAGCCATGGGAGCGAGCAGGAGCCCATGTTTGTAGTGGGCTGTGTGTCTTGTCCTCTGCTTGATGTGTGTCCGGTTAGCTGTTCTGCTGCACCACTGAGGTGGCCAAACTGCAGCCCGTGAAAGACTCCATGTTTGCAGACTAGCACGTCCTGGAGCCTTTTGCCAGGAGGAGAGCACACAGACCCTGGGACTGAGCTCCTGTCTCAGCTCTACAACCTGCCACTTGCATCTCAGTGCACTTATTTCTGGCTGAAATGTTACAAAGCCTGGAAGTCGGTCAAGTGTGAACTCATTGCCATCCCAGAAATACAGTATGAAAAACTTTGCCCAAATTCAGTTCTGGCAAGGTTGGAAATAAAACCCAGGTCTTTGATAATATAAACTGAAGTCTTTCCGTTCATCTCATAGTGTCTCATAGAGCGTATTCACCGAGTTTGTGATTGAGTCACCCTGTTTGCTGGCTCGTGTTTCCTCCTGAAGGCAGGAAAACTATTTTGCCTATCTGCAGCATTTTATTTCTGTCTGGCAAATAGTTTGTAACTCATTGACAAACTCTGAATAAAGTCCTTTCTAGATGCAGGACCAGAGAGGATAAACATCTCCGGACTGAAAGGATAAGGGCTTTGTAGTGTGGATATAAATACTCTGGATTCGAATTCTGCTGGTGATTTGAGCAGACAATTCTGAACAGACAAATTTGGGGGGCGGAGGGGGGGGAGGGAGGATGCTTAGGCACACTGCTTTGCGAAATGTTTTCCTCTGTGTGTCTAAAAATATTTAAAAGACTGAGAAAACAAAAGCTAAACAGGCTCTGCGCTTAAAATTAATTATGCATCAGCCGTGATATGGTGTGCAGCAGAACTGAAGTGTTGCACGTATGGGTGGCTCGCTGTGTGTTGGGTTTGCCGGCGTAATGAGTGTGCAGCTTGGTCCAAAGGTCGAATGAGACACAGTGAAGAGGCTGGGACGACGAGGGGAAACAGAAGTGACCTGAATTTGCCAGGGAGGTCGCAGGGCAGGAGGCATGGGGAGCAAAAGGAGGAGTCTGAATGATAGCCTCCAGCAGCGGTGGGGCAGGCAGGACAGGGGAGAGGTCTGCCAGGTGTGGAGGAGGGTGCGAGTGTGTAGTCAGATCGAAAGGGAAAGGTGGTTGTTCCTGAGAGATGTGAAAGAAGTTGTTAGGGCAGCAGCATGTGGTGCGTGTTTTGAGGGTGTTGCCATGAGGAGATGAGTCTTATGTGCAAAGTCGTGACATAAGCGTGAAGGCATGACAGAGCTTTAGCAGAGGATGCTGGTCACCCACTTGCAAGGAGAGAGGAATGTGGGGCAGTATCAGGGAGCAAGAGTCTGGAGCAGAGACCAGGCCTGTGGTTTATGTCTAAAGAAGGCAATGGAGGGTCTTGGGTTGGAGAACGTTCACTGTGGAAGATGAGGAGGGGGACTGCAGAGAGTAAACAGCATGCAGGGCACAGAAGGTTTTTTTACAAGGGTTTTGTAGCAAGGATCAAAACTGTAGCTGCGTATTGTGGAAATAACAGAGATGCGGTTAGTTGGTCAGCCGTCTACGTGAAGCAAGGATGGAGATACGCGTGTTGGATGCAGTAGCAATGGTGGTGAGGAGGGAAAAAACGGAAGAGGAGCTCCAGGATGCAAGAAGAGCTGGGTAACTCTAGGAAGGAGACAGACCTTCTGGAGCCTTTCCCCGTAGTTCTTTGGCTCCGCTCCAGCTTTTAGTCAGTAATGTTTGAATGCCCTTCTTTGTGGGCAAGCAACAGTAACCAGTTCTCATTGTAACACAGGCCCGCATCCTGCTGTGTAGGATGTTTTAGCAGTGGGGTCAGGGTAGTTGTGAGAACAGGTACTGATCTCTTCTTCACTCCTTGCAGTAGTATTTTAAGAGCTGAGCTCAGAAGCCAAGGTTGAAGTAGGCTGTGCATATCAGAAGCTTTTCAAGGTGATGATCTGTTTTGTGGATATACACAATTGTGAAGGTGTGCCACAGCATTTTTGGAGTGCAGCCATTGACTTTGTGATGACCAGCCAGTGTTTAACTGCTCTCCCCACAGTCACCAATAATCTTCCTTTTCATCAGATCTGTGGGCTGCCGCTTCACGCTTTTGTTCTCTCCAGCGTGGCTCATGTCAGGGAGCAGCAGGAGTAGGGCTGTTCCTCCAGGGAGGACAAGCTAGGAGCCAAAGGTGATGACAGCCTCCAGCAGTGCTCTAACTAAGTAGGGTACAGTCCCACCATACCTGAACAATGCAGGCAGTACAAGATGCTGATAGCAGGTGTCCATCAGCAGTCCCAATGAAGATGAGGTGGTGAATTGGGTCCAGGGTCCACCCAGCAAGTCCATTCGTAGGAGATGGTGCCACAGACAGGACTGGAGACAGGCTGCCTACAGCATAGGTCCAAGGTTTGTCCAGGAGATAGGACTGAGGACAGGTATACCTACAATATAGCTCAGATGAGGCAGGATGTCTGGACCTGAGCTTACGTGGAGCTCCTAGACCACGGGCAGAAGGTGTGTGAGTGAGGGTCTGAGATGAGTCTGTTTGGGGCATTTAAAGCCTGTTAGTGCACTCTGGGCCCAGACAGCTAGAAATTCCTCCTTCCTCCCTGTCCTTTCCGCCATCAGCCTTTGTGAGGGTCTCCTTGACCTTTTAACTCCTCTTCTCCCCCCCAGTTTATCTCTTGTCATTTCATGTGGTGGCTCTTTCCCCCCTCTTGTCTCTGATGGCCCTCACAATTCTCTCCTACACTGCTCTGGGGTTGCTCTGTCCTCTTTCCTGGCTTTCACTACTGTCTATGTGGAAATGGTTCCTACTGCTCCTCTTCACCTTTTCTGTTCTCTCTTACTTCTTCTGTCTTTGTAGAATTTCATGCAAGGAGAAATATCAAATGAATTGCCTCTGTCTCTTTTTTCTACCCCCCAAGCCGGTCTGCCTGTAGCGTTAGTGATCATATTAACCTCACAGTCTCCTTGTTAAATTTCCTTCTTTCTTCCTGATTGCTCATTATCCAGGCTATTTATAAATCATTCCAGGCCTTCTGTTGGTGTTGTACTGAAGTCTACCTGCTCTTCACCATCGCTTCTGTTAAAAGCCTTTATAGAGATGCTGATCATCACTCACCTTGTCTGCTGGCTTTCCCTTTCTTGCTGTGCTGCCCATCCCGTTCCAAATGCAGCTGCTTAAAATCTTCTACCTGCTGCTCGGACCAGATTGCTCTCAAATTTAATGTCTGATGACTTACAAACTGCACAGTGTCACTTTCAGGCTCTTGCTTCCTTCTGCTACCGCTGCTCTCTGGTCTTTCTTTTGCTCCTGCCTTTCCCCCTTCCCCCAACTCTCCTTCTTGGTAAAGGGCAGGTATCAATTCTTCTACATTTTGCATGGAGCAGAGCACGATCAATAAGGGCTCGCTGAGTTGTCAGGATTGATTTTCACATACTTTAAAGGTCCCTTCGCCCCGTTCCACGCTGAATGTGCCATAGATACGGTAAGATACCTTAGAACGATAGGGATGGTCTTAATATAAAAGGGAGCTGTTATACTGTAGAGTTAGAGAAATGACTTTTTTTTTTTCATGATGTCTTTAGAGGCGATCCCAGGCTGGGATGGCACAGTGTCTTCAGCTCCATCTTGTCTCAGTGTTTTTGTGCTTGCTGCCTTTGTCCTCAAGTTACCGTTCCTCAAATGCTGAGCATTGTTTGTAATCACAGCTGGTTGATGGCAAGGCTGAGAAATTCGCTGTCACCAGCAACTCTATTTTGACGCAACGTGTCATCCCTTCTCCCCTTCCTTTTACTTTTCTTTTCTTGTGTGGCAGACCTGTGTACCTTAGGGAGATGTCAGGGGGGAACCATTCTAAGATTTGCTCCCAAACTGCAGGGGATGACACTCATGTATCTAATGGCATGATTCAAGCCCATTTTAGTTGAGAAAAGGAACATTACTCCAAAATGGCTCCATCATACTACTTATTTGTCTGTGCTCACCAGAAACCCAAACTGGATTTGGTGAAACCCAGACAAGTTACTGTGCCCATTTGTGTCCCTGACTAAATGGGGATAACTCTCTCTTGAGCATTCTTCAGGCGCTGCCCACCCCAATTTAAAACACTGCAGGATGGAGCCCTGTCCCCCCTCCGAAGGTGCGTTCCCAAGTCTCTGCTGCTCTTGCCTGCTGATTTTCAGCATGAAATTCCCATTGCATAGATTCGTTGCTGTCCTTTTATGTGGACCATGACAAGCAATTCCATCTCCTTCTTTCTTTTTGTGATATGCCTCCAGACACCTTACATAGATACTTGTTTCGTATGCTGAGCACTAAACCAGTTCAAATCCAGCCCAGATAAACAGTGGTCAGAATTGCCTATCGTGGGGGGGTCCCAGCAGAAATTACTGAAATAACTGCCAGTGCAGGTGGAATGTTGATTTTTTTTTTCCCTTTCCTAGAAGGCAGTCGTGATCACAGTTGGTTCCCATTGCTTTATTTACTGGCAGCCTAAGTAGAGAGCTCAAATTGAAGTAATTCCTCTTTGCCCATGTATCCTGGCGGTGGCATGTGAGAAAAAGCAGATACTTGGTAGTGAGCTGCTTGCTGTTCTGTATCTGCAGTGTGGATAAATCATGGACTTTGGTGTTCAGGGCATCTGGTCTGGAACATTTTGTTAGTAGTAAATTCAGGCACACACAAAATACTGTGCTGCTTAATTGCCAGCAAGATCTGAAGTGTCTCATTTTGTGTTGTTTCTTTTTATTCTTTCTCTGCAGCAACTATAATGGAGAGACAGAAGAGAAAACAAGAAATAGAGAAAGGACTCCAATTCATTCAGTAAGTGGACAACCTCATTGTTTCCTGTGGCTTTGGAGGCGGTTGTTTTTGTATTGAGGATTGCAGGAACTGAGTTCTTCCTATTCACCGCTTTGGGTCTGCTCCATAGGAAAGAGATATTGGTCCTGAAGATTTTCACCATGATTGTTCAGGGTGCTTTTTGTCCTGCCAGCTCTCTACATTTGAAATTTTATCATTTTAATTTCCTTGGGGTTTGCCCTCCACTACAGTTCCAGGATGTTAATTACAAGTCCAAATACTTCCTAATAAAGTACAGTAGTGTTTTTTCTCTCCAGTGTTTGAGTTATCAAAGGCCTCAGACTCAGGTCCAGATTCCATGGCGAGTAAGGAAGTAGGAAGATAGTGATCAGATTCATTTAGGTTTTTTTTTAAGGTCTGCTCTGAGTCCTGCAGTTATGGCTGAAATCTGTGCATCTACAATTGGAAAAAAAGCCAAATCTTCCATGTTACATATTTATATCCTGTGGCATGGCAATGGTATTTTTGCCCCAGTCTGAGACTAGATGGGGCTGATAACCCCGTTTCATGGAGGCAATTGTGAGGTTTATTTTGGTACATTTATAAAAATGCACAAGATTCCTGGAAAGAAAATTATTTAGAAGTACGGGGTGTTGTTCATGCTTCTGCAGTGTATCTTGAAGTCTGACCCAGGGGTATTTGTTGGCTCGTTTTGATGTGAAAGAGGGGTACTCCAATTTTCTAAGCAGAATTAATGTTTCTTACAGAGCCATGGCATTTCCTGTAGTTATTTTTAAGGAGCAGATGATGATTAGATTAGATGAAATCTAAAAAAAAAGTTTATTCTCTGACCAATAAGATCATGTATACAGTATTGTATTTCAAAGGTGAGGAGGGCTGTGAAAGCTACTAAGATTTCTCTAGAGCCTATTGTTTTCTCCTTTAAGAGAAAAAATAAATAAATGTGGACCAAGCCTGGATGACTTGGATGGTCTGATTTGAAGAACAGAACCTTTCTCCTAAGTCTCAGTGCTGTTGTGGGGTAGGTGTTATCCACACAAGTACTGCCAGTTTTTTGGCACAGCCTGGCAGCCTTGGCCAAGACAGCTGGACTGAAATGGCCCCCCGAACCTGTACTGTTTTGTTCCTTCCTTTTGTGGTGTAGGCCTAAAGGCATTTGGCTAAGTTAACAAAGAGGAAAGAAATTCATTTATCACTGAATATCTTTGTTCTCACAGAGGATTTGAGGAGGTCTTGGAGTGTCGGTCTGGTGCCTCTCATTAGAGCCAGATGCACTTAAAATACGCTTGTGTTCTCTGTGGCAGTCTCTCATGGGACTTCCTCAAAGGCGTTTTTTTTTAGGTGGCTGTCTGAAGGTGCATTATAGAGGATTGTGTATGTGCAGAAAATAGCTGAGAATAAAATACCTCTAGTCTCAAATCCCTTTGAGACCTGACCATCCCATGACACCACTGTGGCCATCACTGAGTGTAATGCTCCCTAATTGTGTTCTTTGCCCCAGCTGCTTTTGAAGAAATAAAGTGTTCAGTAACTCACTGAGATAATCAACACAAGACCAGAAAGATGATTTCTTCATCAGACAAAAGGCCTTGTTTGCATGGATGCCTATTTCATGAGCATTTTCTCTTCTTTTTTCCAGGTCCACATTACCCCTAAGCCAAGAAGATTATGAGGTAATGAAGAATTTGTTTTCTGAAGTTGGGAACCCTCTGATTAGCAAGATTTATTCTGTTGCACAGCCATTAGTTTACATACCAAAAGTGGAGAGTGTGGGATGGTCTGTCACAATTTGTCTGTTACTTAAACTTTTAAGGTTCTGACAATGACAACTTTCAGGGAAAGGAGAAGATGCTTGAGTGTTCAAGAAGAAAGGAGATTTGACTGGATTATTCTCGTCAACCAAAAGACCGATGTTTTACAGGAGGGTGGGAAGGCAGGAGAATCTTAGCAGGCAGGAAGTCTGCTAAAACACATGGAAAGGAATGGGAAATTGGGAAACCTCGCCTGTCTCTGAATGTCCATTTCAGCCTATTTGCTCTCTTCCTGCTGCCCAGGCCTTTTTGCAGAAGCTGGTGAGAAACCTGTTTGCAGAGGGCAATGATTTGTTTCGAGAGAAGGATTTCAAGCTTTCGCTGGTACAGTATGTAGAAGGGCTGAACGTGGCAGATTACGCAGCCTCCGATGAGGTGACCATTCCAAAGGAACTCCTGTGCAAGCTGCATGTCAACCGAGCTGCCTGCTACTTTGCCATGGTGAGTGCCTTCCCAAGTCATCCACAGGGGCCAGGGAGAACATCATTGTTGTAGTGCCATGCAATTGGAAAAGCTGTCTAGAGGGATTTCAGTTGATTTTGTCTGATCCCTTCTCCAACACTGGAGGAGATAGTGACACACACAAAACTCTGGGACCTCCCCACTATTCCACTGTGTCTTGTGAGACCAGAGAAAGGATGTGAAGGAGAGGGAGCTAGTCCTGAGGTGCTGAGAATGCAGTTCTGGTCCACGTTGGCGAGGAGTTAGTACAACCTGGAGGTTGGAGAGAGCCAGTGCCTTCCAGTGTTGACTGAGTATTTCTCTGAAAAATACTGTCTGAGGCTCTGGAGGCTCCTGCCCTCTCAGGGGAGGCACTGGAAGACGGTGAGAAGGCTTTAGGTCTTGACAGAACTTTCAGCACACACATGGGAAAGGATTCTGCGATACTCAGGCTCTAAAAATCAGCGTGCTTCGATTTTCCTGAGGAATCTAACAGCTTTCCTTTATGGCACAACCCCAGAGCAGGTCCATCCTGTTCGTAATGAGGCTGAGTCCCATGAAGAAAATCAGAAAGCAGTCGAATAATTAAAGACTATCAAATGTCACATGCCCAAGGTAGAGGGGGAGACAAGATAAGGTTGCTCAAGCAGCCGTAATTCTGGCATTCACTGACTTTTAAGTGTTTTGAGTTTTGCAAGACTTTACAAAATGTTCTGTTACTGTAGGTTTTGTGTGTTTGTATGCTGGTCTGTGCATGAGTTAGTATATATTTCCAACTGCCTTTTATATTCCTGTTTTCTGCTGAGAGATAAAACATTTGCATTCACACAGGAGGAAGGGTTAGTCTCCTGTGCCTCAACTGACTCGAGGTGGTCTCTTCCATGCAGGGGTTGTATGAGAAAGCACTGGAAGACAGTGAGAAGGCTTTAAGTCTTGACAAGGAGAACATCCGAGGGCTCTTCCGGAAAGCCCGCTCCTTAAATGAACTTGGAAGACACAAAGAAGCATACGAGTGCAATAGCCGATGCTTGCTGTCCCTCCCTCATGTAAGTTATTGACATACAGCTCATCTTGATTTCTTTGGCTCATCACCTTCCTCCTCCGTAACATGCTTAGTGTGAGGCCAGAGGATAGTGGAAGGGGAAGCTTGTCTGTTCTTGGGAACGTGCTTACGCCCAGAAATTCTGTGTCTCTGACTCGAAGATGATGTTTGACCTCCCATGTTTCTTCAGTCCAAGTCACCCTCGGCAGTTAGTGACGACAGGTTTGGTGACCTGTTTGTGAAGAGCAAAACCCTACCCTAATAAAATGTGAACTAAGGCCAGGAGATTGTTTTAATTAACTGGTTTTATATGTCCAATGGGAGTAACTAGGAGCATGGTACAAATGGGAACTGGAGCACTGAAAGGAAAACATGTATACTTTTCCTGTTGTAGATAAAAATGTCTCACGTTTTACTTACTGATTGCTAAGGCAAGCTGATAAATCTTTTTATTTCTTGTCTGACAGACAAAGGTGTCCTTGATGTCACATGCCTCAGTTATTTTTATGTGCACAGATGTGTAAATTTTTGCGTTCAGAGGGGACTATCTGCATATGCTAGGCCCTAGATATTTTCCTGACAGTACTTTTGTTGAGTGTCCTTTTAGGCCAAATATTGAACAGGAAATAGAATATGATTAGACAGATTCTAGGGAGCACTGCTTGTCTTTGCTAAATGTCGTTCTGATCCATCACAGTAATGCTATTACAAAAAAATGCATCTACTTCAGCAGGGGGAGTTAACTTTTTTTTATTATTAGTGTTAGTGAAGCAATCTTTGGAAGTGTTGTTAGCAGTTAGTTATTCCTTTTGTATTGCTTGTAAGTTCTAGTTTCTTTGACTTCGCAGAAGTTGACCAAATCACATTGAAGGTGTCATGTTAGGGAAGTTTCAAAGAACTGTTTTTTGAACAAACCCTTTTATAAATAAAAGCATCTAATATATGTGTTCATGTAAAGCCATATCTGGCTATATTTCACATTGCGGTAGAAATTAATTTAATTTAATTTTTAACCATATACTTATCATAGAATCATAGAATGGTTTAGGTTGGAAAGGACCTTGAAGATCATCGAGTTCCAACCTCCCTGCCATGGGCAGGGACCTCCCAGTAGACCAGGTTGCCCAAGGCCACGTCCAGCCTGGCCTTGAACACCTCCAGGGATGGGGACTCAACAACCTCTCTGGGCAACCTGTTCCAGTGCCTTACCACCCTCAAAGTGAAAAACTTCTTCCTAATGTTTACATAGCTCCCATTATTATCATGACAATCATTGTAGGTCTACAAACACCTTATCAAACTTCTGTGTGGCAGGAAAGTTCAGCCTTACAAACTCCATATCGAGTGATCTGCATTCCCTATTTTAAACAATTCAGTCTTGTAATTTAACATACCCCATTGACATATTACCCGATTAACAGAAATCATCAACCTTCTCTGCATCAAAGGCAAGTCATACTATCCGTCGTCTCACTCTTGTTTCCATTACACCAGCTGCTAAGCCTGTGGAGCACACAGGTACTTCCAGCTTGCATTGCTCTAACAGCCGAGAGCTTTGTTGCAGTCAAAGCAGAGAATGTATTAAAAGTTCCGGTGATGAGGGATCTCCCACTCAGTTGACTCACTGTCGCGCAGAGTTAACTTGTTTCTGGGTGCAGATACTCACTGCTGCTAGTTTGCAGAGGTTCCCAGCATGGTGAGGTTGATACTCCTCTGTGGTGTGCTTTTTCTGATAGGGCGTGGGTTTTTTAGGGTGTTGGAGGAAAGCATATTACACACCCTTGTTGAGCATCCCCTCATTTAGGTGGGAGGCAGTAAGCACCTGAGGGTGGCATTTGGCTGAGGGAAGGGAAAGCTAAAGGAAGATCTTGGGGATGACAAAGAGCAAGTGACCGCCACCCCCAAACCTCAGGCCCACGCACAGGAAGGACAACAATTAACTGTGTTGTTGGGAAAGGAAGTGGAGGCAGCTCAGAGAGAAATACATTCTTGATCTTGTCCAGGAATCTAAGATGTCTCAGAGTTATGTTGGCATGTGGAGTTGGATAGGGTAAACCTGGTAGATATGAGTACGAGACTGATGAAAAGAAATTACATCAGAGGTCTTTCTGGTGAGTTTTCCATAGGGAGCGAGAAAATGGCAGACTTCAGAAGACACCTGAGAGAGTGTTTAGAAAGACAGAATCACCAGAGGCAAACAGAGCAATGAAAACATGAGTGGTGTTAGAAAGATATGAGACATGGAAGAGAGTGAGGAAGGAGCACTGACCATGAGATTTGACCAAAAAGATGCGTCTGGAAGGTGCAGGGACAGTTTCAGAAGAAGGTACATCCTGAAGGGGTGTAAGATGGAGAGAGAAGAGGAAATGGACGAGATAGATTCTGTCTTCACTGAGTTCGGAGAAGATGGTGACAAGACCAATGTTGAGGGTGTGGGGGAGCAAGCACAGTCAAAAAGTTGCACTCTAAATTAAAGGAAAATGTTCCTGATACTGTTGAGTGGAAGGACCTGAGGATAGTGAGGGGTTGAAAGGGAAAGGATGAACCTTGAGGGAGAAGGAGGTTGGAAAGACCAGCATGGCAAGTAGAGAGAAGAGAGCAAGCTTCAAGGTTGGAGATGCGGGAGACATTGGGACATTAAGGAGGGATATCACAATAGGTTGGGCAGATATTTTTTTCTTTTTTGAAGAAACTGTTAAAGTACTCCAATATTTTTGCAAACAGGGAGAGAGAGGAAGGAATTGCTGGTGATAAATAAGTGAAGAAGGTTGTGGCAGGTTGTTAGTCTAGGCAGAGCTGGAGAGTATGGGGCAGGGGAATGGAGCATGGCCCAGAACTTTGTCTGAAGCCCATGTTGATGTATGAGTGGGCATGGGCAGTGAGCAGGGAGGATGATAAATAGCATGCAGCAGGGAAAGCAGAAGGATCTGCTTGACTAAGCTGAGGCTGTTTAACCGGAGCCAGAGATGGTGAAAATGCCTTGTAGCTGGTAAGTTGGAAAATCTTGTTTTCAGCTTTAAAAACAAACAAACAAGCAAAACAAGCTAGTGAATACTGTCTGCATAACAAAACTGATTATTAGCTCTGTGGATGGCAGAGAGGGAAAGTTCACAGGCTGTGCATGCAGGAAGGCATGCAGGCTCCTTCTTCCCAGACATGGGGACCTTGTGGAAGCGGTATCAGCCCCCAGCATGAGGGGCTGCTAGCAGCCATCCTTGGCGACCCTTTCAGCTGTCTTGCCAGTGGAACTCGTGAACCGTGCCTTCAGAGAGTGGGTGCTTTCTTGGAAGCAGACCCTTGGTTCTGATTTTCTGCAGCATCGAACGAGTGTGTGTGGAGGTCCTGGTGCAACCTCAGTATCCAGCAGGACTGAATGACAGGAGCACTTAGGTCTGCATGGACTCTCCTAGGGCTGCTCTGGCAATCGTCCACCTGCTGCTGTCTTAAAGTGAGGCTTCTTGGCACAGCCCAGTGTGGATAACTGCATTCCTATTTATTTCATTGTGTGTGCCGCAAAGGCAAAACTGAAAGTGTCCTGCCAATGGTTTTTGTCCCCAGGATGAAAGCGTCACACAGCTGGGACAGGAGCTTGCCCAGAAGCTGGGACTGAGAGTTCGAAAAGCTTACAAAAGACCTCAGGTATGACTTCTTTTTTCTTAGAGGTTATCCTTTGGCTCTTTCAGATTTACTTTTGCAGAAGTGGGAGGTGCTGCTTTGCAGTTACAGACACACATACTTGTCCTGACCCTCTAACTCACTTTACCTTGACTCATTTCTAACCCCATTGCTGCTCTGCAGGAAAGGCCTCTGATGCACTGGGAGCCTGTGTTTTTGGAGGAGAGGGACATGTGGCCTGATCACAAAGGAGGTTTTGCATCACAAGTCCTTTCCCTGTTATGGGATGAGGAGGGTGGGATCCTCTGCTGCATTGGAGGCCTGGCTGGTTTTGTAGTGCGATGGGTCATGAGGGGTTCCTGCCCCATTGTAGGTGTACACCTTCTTTGTGGTGGGAGAAAGGCCTGCGCTTTGGGAGAACAACAGGTACGCATCTGGTCAGATGCTAGGTAAGCAGGCAGCAAAAAGCGAGTAGTGGGTCCAATTAATTGACGCCAGTGGCTGGACGAGTAACCTGACTCTACAAGAAGCTGGAGTATTGTTGGTGTTTAAATGTATACCCTGGGATGGAGCTAGAGGGCGATAGGCCACTGCTATCACTCTTGGATAAAGCTGCCTTGGTCATGTAAAATCCCAGGATGCGTTTTCCAGAGTAGGGAGCATTAGCTGGGCTTACATTTGCATTTGCATCCTTGGCCCCATGCACAGTGGTGTGTTCAACAGCTGGCATGTTCCACCTCCAGAGGGGCACCTTTGCAGAATGCGGTGGAGTGATTGGTGGGCATCCAGTTTTCAGAGAGCTTTTGGGGTAAATTTGGCTGTAGCATCTTATTCCTCTCCCAGACCAACCTCACATGTGATTGGCCTACCGCAAAAAAACCCATGACATTGTAGCAGCTCTCAACACTCCAAAATGATTCTGTGTCAAAGAAAGGGAAGTTTTATGCAGAAATACTTTTTGTAACTGCTCACTGTGTTGGCCTTGCCACCTTTTTGCTGCTGTCATGTTACTCAGCTGTGATGGGCTTAAACCACCTGTATGTTAGAAAAATAAAAATTTAAAACTCCAAGATGCTTTTTATTACTTGAAATTTAGTGATTGGTATTTTGATAACGCCTTGCTATCTCTTGTGTTGAATTCCAGCTTTCATTCCAGTGCTGTAATGCCTTCCCAAAGTAATAATTTCTTAATGAAAAGACAAAAGCTTCTCTTCCTCAGGGAAGTTTCCTGATATTGTGTTGGATGTTGGGTGTTTTGCGTTGAGGTCTCCAGAACAAATATATGGCCCTTTCACTGTTGAGAAAACTGTACCCTTGTGTCACAGTGGTATGCCTTTTGGGGTGGCTTTTATTTATGGGCAGTGCCTGAAAGGAAACAGTATTGTAACCCAGCTTTACCTAGTTTATGAGCGTTCATGGGCTGTT